TTTTTTTGACTTTTTTTTAAATTTTGAAAACAGGTTCTTTCCAATGAAAGTTTTTTATAATTCTAGAGTCCGCAAGCGAGACCGTTCGGCCACTTCGTGCGGAAAACCAAAGCGGCAAGTGCCATGAGTGTATTTGCCGCAATAGGGCGAGTGGTTGTGCTCCAAGTACTCGGCCAGTTTGGCATTCTCCTCATTGGTCTTTTCGTCACCTTCTGTGGACGCCCGCCAGGTGCTGGGCGAACGGGTGCAAATGCACGTGTCACAGAGCTCTTCGGCCGACATGCCTTCCACGTCCGTCCACAGGAGAATGTGAGCGTGGGGGTAGCCTCGCTTTTGCCACTCAAAGCGGACGATGTAGTCGAGCACGTGGAAGGGCGCCTTGTCTTTCTCCACTCTGCGTGGCTCTCCCATCACGTCATGGATCGGGGGGGCCACGCTTGCTCCGTCGTCCTCTTCCTCATCCTGCGCGTCGGCCTCTGGCTTGGTCTTCATGCGAAAGGCCTTGTCTGAGGTGAGCCAGCGCATAAACTGGTTGAATTGGTGCGTGAACTGGCGGGCGACGATGGCAGGCTGGCTATTGCAAAGCTCATTGGCCGTGAAGCCGTCCCACTTGAAGCCGTCAGCGGTGAAGTGCTGGTGGTAGATCTCGGCAGCTTCTCGCTCCAACCTTATGGGCGGACAAATGTCGAGTCCACGCGCGCCGGGATCAGCGACTTCAACGTTGTAAGGACAGGTGTTGGATTTGGAAACGATCAAAAGTTGACATGGGCATGCTTTGAACCAAGCAACGTGTCGGCAGGAATTTCCGGGCGAAGCCTCAGCAAGCGGGCTACAATCGCAGCGGTCAGTAGTTCTGGCTGCCTGGCATGGCAGGTCAACGTAAGGAAGAATTGTGGGCGGCCCAACTGCTCATACATGTTCAAGGCAGTGCCCTTCTTGGCAAAGAGGTATGGCTGTGTACCCGGCATGTCTCGCAAAGCAGTGTGCACAAATGTCTTGGCGTCCTCATAGTTGGAGTGGCTGTTTGGCCGCTGTTGGTTGCTGATGCGCACGTTGATGTTGCCGGTGAGGCGTTTCTTCATCTGCTTTTCCAGGAGCCACATAATGTATTCCGGGCTGCCCTCAAAGCGCGGGTCACTACCCAGTAGTCGCCTGCCACGCGGTTGCTTTCTTCACGCCCCTGCTGAGATAACTTATAACATACCTTTTCGTCTACCTTGGTCCAACTCTTTTCATATGTGGCTTCGGGCCGCTAAAAAACAATGTCCTTATCTTTATTTGATTTTTTGGTTTGCAAGCAAGCACCTTCGCGCGTACTGGCTGAAGTTCTGATGGCGTTGCGCCAGCCGCCAACGCCATCAGGAAAGAGGTGCGGGAAGAACTTTACATCAGCATCATCTTCAAGCTCTGCACCACGCCGCGCATTGTTGAGCTCAGCTGCATCAGCCCTGGGCACGTTGCAGTCCTTCAGGGGGGCGCGCAATTGTCTAAGAAGAGCACCCGGCGCAGTAGGAAAGACAAGACAAAACACAGCTTCATGAAAATTCATTTCTTGTGAGTTACAGCGGCGCCTTCGGGACGAGGTACGTCAGCTCTATATCTTGGTCTTCTGGCCAGGCTTCCTGCATGTCCTCTGGCCCGACTTCCTGGTTGATCGCCTGCAAGTCCAGAGCGCGCTTCATCTTTGCTAATGCCTCGTCGACGGCTGGGTTGCCTTGATAGGCGCGATGTTGAGCCTGTAGGGCTTGCAGTCCACGGTACAAAGACCCAAGTCTGGCTGGGCTTTGCGTGAGACCCTCGACGCCCTCCACGTGCACACTGCCATCTTCTTTAATTTCGGCTCCTTCCAGGACATCGCAAATTCGAGGCTCATCAGCACCGCATACATTCTGCCCCATTGGGCGCTGGGACCGCCCGAGGGCAATTTGTCCAGCAACACCTGTGAAATGCGAGCCATTGCAAGGAGTTGGCGCTCAAGGGGCTGCAGTTGGAGAAGAGCATCCGGAGTTGCTGTCAAGGGCTGCAAGATCAACGCTCCCCGTTTCTCCCGGCAGTTCTTGCAGGCAAGCTGTCCCGTGGTCTTGCTCAGCAAGCAATGCCTCGCAGGCGTCAAAGTGAAGCACACCTGGCAAACACGAGAAAGGCCAAATCGACACCAGCTTCGCAGAAAGTCTTGTGCTATCGGTCCCCGGCTGCCAGCGCCCTGCTCACACCTTGCCGCTTGCAACAGCGCCCTTTGCTCACGGTAGCTGCCTTCTTCTTGCATGGGCCCTCTACTGCCAGCACCCTGCTCAGTTCTAGCCGCTTGCAACTGCTGTTGTTGCTGGCGCCGGCTGCCTTCTTCTTGCATGGGCCCTCTGCTGCCAGCACCCTGCTCAATTCTAGCCGCTTGCAACTGCTGTTGTTGCTGGCGCCGGCTGCCTTCTTCTTGCATGGGCCCTCTGCTGCCAGCACCTTGTTCAGATCTAGCCGCTTGCAACTGCGCCCTTTGCTTACGGTAGCTGCCTTCTCCTTGCAAAGGACCTCTGCTACCGACATGGTTCTCTTCACGCCTTTGTCTTTTTTGGGCTCGGTCTTCTTCTGCTCTCGCTTTTGTTTCTTCACGGCAATGGACGTTGTCACACCAACCCTTGCCCCTGCCACGGCGCATGCCCACTTTGCAGATCTCACATGGCGGCATGGCTCCCCAAAGTAGTAGCGCGAGAAGCCGTTGAAAGAAAGAATGCTACATGACAATATGAACCCAGGTCATCTTGGAACAATACTGTTGCTTTGGATCATGTGTTTTGTTGTTGTTGTTGTTGTTCTTCTTCTTCTGGCTCGAAGGTGGTTGATGGCAAATTGAACACGCCGTGCTGTAACCTTTGTATGCCAATCGAAGAAGATAAGAGGGGTTGTTAGCAAGCTTGTTGCAACTTACTCTGTGGACGCACCGAGGGAACATGTCGAAAGACTTGGTGTGTAAAGCTGTGTGCTTTTTGCCTCGCGTGCCTAGCCTCGCGCTTTTTCATCCGGCTTTTCCCTGTGGCTCGAAGCGCGCCCGGGTGGCCTGAGCCATCAGCCACAGAAAGGCGGTTGTTCCTGGCAGACCCGGTCAAAACGCGACACGCCTATCTTCCTTTGTATTGTCAAGGTTACTATGGTTCAGTTTGTCTTTCTTTTGAGTACTGGCTTGGTCCACTCGATCTACTTACTAAGGCATGCAAGGCTATCCTGTGCACATGGCTGCTACAATCAAAGTTGGCTAAGTTGACAACCCACACTGGCCTCGACCCACGTAGAACCAATGACCGCGTAGGCCTCACCAGCTGGACCTGAAGAGACGTGGCTCACTACCACACGGAAAGCTCCCCATTGTCGAGGGTACTGAGGGCTAGTTACTACTATAGCTTTTGAATGTTGGCATGCCCAATTCACTTGCGTGGCTCCAGCTGCAAAGCAACATTGTAACCGCTCTGGAAAGGTGCGACGGCCAGCGCCTAGGCCTTAGGGTAGAGGAAGAAGCTCTTGACAGCAAAGCGCAGCAAGTGGCCTCAGTGGACAACGCAGCCGGTGCACAGAAGTTATGAACAAAGATTGCGGGCCAAGTAGGTGCAAAAAAGCGCGCGCAATGCGATACGAGATTCAAACATAAAGCAAAGGCAAGCAACACGGTGCAAGCGGCTGCTCCTTTCTTATATCCTTCCACTGCGCGCCCTGCTTTCATTATTCTGCAGCGTCTCGTGCTTTCAGCTTACCCCAAAACAATTCAGGAACGAGCGTGGCACCAAGGGGGTCCGACTGACCAGCCAAGGCTGTCTGCACTTCTTGGTTGCGGCTCTTCAGGCGCCCTTGGGCTGCAGCTGCAAGGGTTGGGGCGAGAGTAAGTTCTTTCATGTTCTGCGATAAGTTGGACACCTTGGGCATGTGAAGCATCACCGTGCCTGCCAAAGTGGTGTAGGTCACCTCTAAATCCCTGTTTTCGATGTGGGCCAAAGTGCAACTCACGACTAATGCGGCAGGAACTTCACGAACGAAAACTTCACCCGCAGGGTAGCTCAGCCATTCTTCATAATGCCACTCCTCAGCCTTGTAGACAGCTACGCCGGGCTCGTCTTGGTGCCAGGCAACGAAGGTGCACTCTAGAAAGACCCGTCCGTGCATGGAAAGTTCGGCGTGAACCACCAAGACGGGGCATCCTCGATGCCACCAAGTATTTGGGCAGCAGTAACATGATCAGGGCTAAGCAAGGTCCAGCTTTCAGGGCCTCTGTCCAAGCCTCGCCTAGTCCATTCGAGGCGGCGACCGCTCATACTGTCCTATGAAAGAAGGTTGCCTACCAGAAATCAAGCTGGCTATGAGAGTTAGAATTTGAGCCAAGAGGGTTGCTCCTCCATCGCGCGACAACAACATGCCTACCAATCCCATTGTCGAGATGCGGTCTTACCACTGGAGACGCTTGCTTGCAGCCGAGGGGCTTGTGGATAAAATGATATTGGTAACCGGCTCCACTGTCCTGCGCAAGAAGTAGTTCTAAGCCTAAGCAAGATCATGTTTTCAATATGCGGCCATGACCTAGAAAGCCATACTCAAAGAACAAGACAAAATAGCCAGGAAGATGCCCAACAGGATGTCCTTGCCACGGTGATGTCCGGGAAGGTCAGTGGGATGTAGCCAAGATCACGAGGATAAAGGCGACGCCAAAGACCTCAGCGCGAAAGCCTATCAACGGCTCAAAGATCACAGGCTTGGACGCTCTGCATAAAGTATCGAACTTTAAGGATTTTTAGGTTGGTCCAACTGCCCGAAACCATGCCTTCCGAAACTAGATCAAAACTGGTCTAAAACTTGCACAAAACAGCTGGCCACAGGATGCTGCGTCAATGATCCTTGTCCACGCCAACGGGATGTTGCCAAAACCGTGCGGATAAAGATTATGTCAAAGACCTCAGCACGAAAGCCCACTAACGGCTCAAAGATCACAGGCTTGGACACTCTTCATGAAGCGCCGGACTTTAATGAGGTCGAATCTGGCCCAAAGCCTGTGCCTGGTCATGGTCATCTGAAACCTGCCCGAAACAAGTGGCCGCAGTGATCAATCTAGCCCAAAGCCATTGTGGTCATCTAAGCCTGCCCAAAACAAGTGGCCACAGGATGTGGCCTCAGTAGCTGTTGTCCGCGTCAAAGAGATGTAGCCAAGATCACACGGATAAAGGCTATGCCAAAGACCTCACCTCCTCTAAGCCCAACTAATTAAATAGTCCAAGGGCGCATGGTTGATAAGAGCTCCTCCTCTGAGCGGAACTTCCTATCAAAAACCACGTTCTTTTCCAGTTTGGCGCCCAAAACTGAAAAGAATGTGGTTTTTCAAGAAAACTTGCCCAAGCCCTCCATTAAAGCCTGCTGTTTCTTTCCAGAAACGGTCAGAATTAAGCACTAGTATGGTCTAATCTCTCAACACGGACGTTTTCGCCAGCTCCCATTGAAGCATGTTTCCTACACCTAATGGTCAAAAATCCGATCTTGAAGGGTTTTCTGTGGCTCCTTTGGGGTCTTTTGAGGTCTTGACATTTCTTGCTCCGACACACGCCCCACGCGCTCAGTTGCCATAGTACCCCATGCCGTCGGTTGCAAGAACATGACTTCTTCCTCCATTGCGCAGTGGCCTTCTTTGCACCGTTGTCCCGAAAGAGTTCAACCAGGCCTCTGCCAAAGCACTGCCCAAGAACCCTGGAAGCCAAGTTGGCTAGAGTTGGTTCTATTTGGGCCGATGCCTCATCCATAAGAACGAGCCCAAATCTTCGGAGCCCCTGGTCCGATCTCTACTTAGCGCGCTTGCGGTGTGCCCTTTCCCGCATCTAGACGCGCAATACTTGCCGCCAGCTTCCATTGAAGCAATTTCCCTACACCTAATGGTCAAACATCCGATCTTGAAGGGTCTTCTGCGGCTTCTTTGGGGTCTTTTGAGGTCTTGACATTTCTTGCTCCGACACACGTCCCACGCGCTCAGTTGTTGTAGGCGCCAGAGGCCATGGTCTTCAGAACCAAAGTCTTCCCAGCAATACCTTGGCGAAAACGCGTTCGCACGTCGCTCAAACGAAGGGGCGAGTTCCAATCAGGCAGGTTAGAAAAGGGCGCTTCACTTGCACTGGGCCTGCAAGCTTCGATGCCTTTGACTTTGTTCCTGTTATCCACAAACAGGCCGGGCCCACGCGACCGGCTACTCCTCCCCAACATGGCTGCGGCGGAGCGGCGAGGCGCGGCGCTGCGACAAACAAGGCAGCTGCGCGCGCTACCGGCTACCCCTCCCCAAAATGGCTGCGACTATCTCGCGGCCGGCTACCCCACCCCAAGATGGCTGCAGCGGCGAGGCGCGGCGATGCCCGGCGAGGTGCGGCGAAATCAACCTGACGGTTGAGTGATCCTGGCGCTTTCTGCTCTTTCTTTCTTCATGCCTGCCACGCGCGAGATCCCAACCACGGCGTGAGCAACTAGCAATCACATAGGAAACAAGGCAGTCTCACGCGGCCGGCTACCCCTCCCCAAGATGGCTGCAGCGGCGCGGCGAGGCGCGGCGCGGCGATAAACTTGTCAGGCCCGCAAAGTTAACTGCCGGCTAACTACGGCCGGCTACCCCTCCCCAAAATGGCTGCGACTATCTCGCGGCCGGCTACTCCTCCCCAAGATGGCTGCAGCGGCGCGGCGAGGCGCGGCAAAGTCTCGACACCTTTGTTCTTTCTTCTTTCCGTCTTCACGCCTGGCAGCGCAGCGTTGCTAGGGGCTGACAACCGATTGTTTGAATGGCCCTTTACCGGGGGGATATTCTCGCAACGAGAATATCCCCTCTCCGCCTGGGCATCGCTGTCGTTTCTACGGTCGCGGGGTTTATTGTTAACCCAGGCGGGGGCCCTTCCCGCGACCTCCACGACAGCGATGGGGCTTCTTGGGTTTCGCCCTTTGCTTCCCCAAGGCTCTATCAATAAAGAGTCTTTATCCATCACCGATCATCAATCGCACTACCCAAGGCATTTGTATCTCGCAACTATTTTACTGAGGCCTTTCAAAACTAGCTTTCCTACGGCTTCAAAGCCTGTTGTTTCTCTCAAGAAACGTTCTCACTAGCATGGTCTAATCTTTCAAAACCGACGTTTTCAGGGCTATCGTTTCCAAGGCCTCCAAAACCAGGTTTTCAAGGTCGCGCTTCACAGGCCCAAGCTTTCCATTCAAGCCTGTTGCTTCTCTCAAGATACGTTCAGTATTAAGCTCACTAGTATGGTCTAATCTCCCAAAACGGGCTTTTTCAGGGCTATCGTTTCCAAGGCCTTCAAAACCATTACTTCAAGCTCGCGCTTCACAGGCCCAAGCCTTCCATTCAAAGCCCTTTGTTTCTCTCAAGAAACGTTCAGTATTAAGCTCATTAGTATGATCTAATCTTCCAAAACGGACGTTTTCAGGGCTATCGTTTCCAAGGCCTCCAAAACCAGGTTTTCAAGCTCGCGCTTCACAGGCCCAAGACACCCATTCAATGGCTGTTCTTTCTCTCAAGAAACGTTCAGTATTAAGCTCACTAGTATGGTCTAATCTCCCAAAACGGACGTTTTCAGGGCTATCGTTTCCAAGGCCTTCAAAACCATGTTTTCAAGGTCGCGCTTCACAGGCCCAGGCCTCCCATTCAATGGCTGTTGTTTCTAGTATTAAGCT